CTTCACTTCCTCTTTCTAACGGTGAAAACTGCAGGTTTCTAGCTTGTTGCCATGAAAAGGTATTCAAAAAATGTCCACGACCATATATATCTGAAATGAACATAAGAAACTATTGCATTTGATAATTAACAGAGTTTACAAAATTCATTAGCAAAAGGATCACCTTTCAAAGGAATTGCTTGAGTATATATGCCGTAGAGTCATTGGAGGTTTTTATTCGTCTATCAGAAAAACGAATGATTCCTTGTCAATAATAAATAACGCCAACTATCAATATTTTGATGCTTCAAAGGTTGAAAAACCGTACGATAAAGACTACCATCATTCAGTGAAATATTTTCATAATAAACACACACATAAAGAAACACCATGCGTACATATATCCTCGAAAAGCAAAACACAAGAACCAAAAAGTGCAATACTAACATATGAACAGAAAAGATAGAACAAATGATATCACGGAATATGTACCATGGGTGATGGGTATGATACATATTGATCAAACTTTCGCAACTAGTTAGTTAAAAGTGAAGGAGTTTCCTAATTTCGAGATGGGTGTGGGTGTCGGTGTGTTTGTGGATGTGGATGAGTGTAGAATAACCACCTACATGCACACTCACCCATATCCACACCCACACCCACGCGAATATAGTTTACCCAGTGACACGTTCACACGCATGCAAACTTATAGCAATGCATGCGTGTGCACGGATCCATTATCGTGCATTTACATGCGTGTTTTTAAAAATCATGTTTGACTGGGATCCGATTTATTGTTTCGGTCGGCAACGACGAAGAACTATTTCCAAACTCTCATTCGTTAACATTTACGCCCTTTATATACATTTGAACATAGCTCTTCAGGAAGCGATACGCGTTCATAGGTCACCATTCAGATAAAAAGAATTAGTTAACATGGTAGAGTTTTTTTTTAATGCTTATATAGTTGAAATCAACTTTCAAGTTTGACATGTGTGGTAGATTGGGAAGTATTAAGTGGGCGTATAGAAAGTGCATACAAAAGGGCGTATAGAAAATGCATTCAAAGGGACGTATTGAAAAGGACGTGAAAAAGTCGTACCGATTCGAATATATAAATTTGAATGTAAAGAAATGGAAATGTAAAAACAGATATATGGAGATTTAGCCGTATTTGGAATTTTTCTCAGAAAAGTCTTGTTACCCTTTTTATTAACATTTCTTGAAGAATTCATGAAGCAGATTATATGCGGTAAGTAATATTATGCGTCAAAGCAAGAATATTGACATGCTTGCAGACTTTATTTTGTGATGAGAATTTTTCGATTACTAATAGTCATGCATTGGTGCAATACATAAAGATCCTTACAGCACCAGAAGAAGAAAACAGAAAGCACGTTTGTTATTGTCGACCATATATGATTGGAATTTGAAGATGTGATACATTCAAGACTTCATTGGATGACTCAGAATTTGTTTTTCTTTTATGAGAAGGTACGCAGTTAATCGAAGTAGGAAAAAGAAATCATTGCAACCATGTGGTTACTACGATGCAAACTGAGCAGCTTTAGTTTCTCATAATCAAATTGTTTTTTTTTTTGCGGGTGTCTTCTGAATCTCGTGCTATAGACATCATTATTTAATAGAATAAAATCAATTCATGCATACAATTTCTATCATCTATCATGTTTTGAATTCGCATGTCGTTTTCTTCGAATAGCTCAACATCAATGTGCGCTCGTTTTTTCAAAACCTATTAATTGTATTGTTTCAAACAAACAATTTTTTTTATAAACTATTCATTCAATTATCGCTATAATCAGAAGGTCGACGATGTTCACTTTAATCTTTAATTGAAGTCATCTCTTTTATTTCAGATACATACACATTGCTTACGATATCAATACGCCGTTTTCTGCTGACACTTCTGAACAAACAAAAATGATGCTGATAGATTTAGCTAATATTCTTCGTAAAGCCAATCTCACTGTCGTCGAAGTTGACGGTTGGAAGACACGTGGCCATGGTGAGATGAATTCTGTAAAAAGTATTATCCTTCATCACACGGCTGGCCCAGCAACTGGTGATTTTCCGTCATTAAACATTGTTCGAGATGGTCGACCAGATCTTACTGGTCCACTTGCACAACTTGGATTAGGTCGTACTGGTTCATGGGATGGCATTGCAGCAGGTCGTTGTTGTCATGCGGGTAAAACAGTCGATG